TGATCAAATGAATTGGTCAGCCCGAGGTAATGTATTGAACCAATATTTGAGGAACACTTCAATTGGAACGACAGTAATAGGCTGTTACAGCTCATAGATTGAGTAAACGGCAGGATTCAATTAGCTTCAACCTTGTTTTCATCGATTTAATCCTTCAAAATAATCCTTGGCTGTCCATAGCACTCAAATAAATCGAAAAGTTGACAAAAACAAAACAGTAAAAACAACATTGCGGCTCGATTTTGCTGAATGAAAACTCGTTCTGCGCCCGCGTACAATCTTTTACTAGTCAGCGACGCTTTTCAATAGGGGAATTTCTCGAGTTAGTTACACGAGGCTATTTTCTAACTTTATTTGTATTTTACTCATTAGTTTCATCGGTGACCTATCTTCAAATTTTGACCACGAATTTATTTTGCGGTAAATTTTATAAATTTCAAATTTTAAAAAAATCTGTAGTGTGGAAATTTCGCAATAAATTTTTCGCTTTTAAAAAAATCACACACTACAGAATTTTTTTAAGCTTTCACCACAGTTGCAGAGCATCATTCTTTATTGATATATGAAATAAAAAAGATAGGTCACCTACATCGTTTTTGAGATAGCGGCACATTTATGGGTTAAATTGGAAGGCTTTATGCTGTCGTCATGTTGCCATGGGAACATTGAAATCGTCGAAATCTAGTTCGAAATATTCCGTAGGTGACCAATATTGCCACCAAGTCGAAAAGAATTCGCGTTCTGCACGAATAAGCCTGTTTTACGGAATTATTGCTTAAACAAGAATAACTGTAGGGAGCCACTTTAAGTGTATTAAATTAACTAAGAAATTATTTTCACCGGCCAAATCTGTGTAAGACACATCGCCAGGGCTAAAACAAAACAGTAAATCTTATGACCACAAATTTTTCAAAGGTTTTTTATGACTTTGATATCCAATATTGAAATTAAAAAAAATTCGTACTATCCATCCCATGAATTATCTTACCTGTGAAATGAATTACTCGTCCTTTTATTATGTAAAGTAAATTGTTGCATCAGCAAGCGGAGCAAAACGGCACTTTAATTCCTTCCAAGTTGAAAAAACCCCCAGCAAAATACGAGAAAAATATATTATGTTTTTAACTAAAAACACTGCCAAAACCAGGGGGGTGAAAACGTCGTCTGAAGTTCAGGATCGCGGTTGTATTAATAATAATAATAATAATTTATTCAAATGCATGACCTAATTACAGGTATTGCTAGAATATTCTATAAATATATATATATATATATATATATATATATATATATATATATATATATATATATATATATATATATATATATATATATATATATATATATATATAATTACATACAGTACAAGGTATTGAAGAAACGAACATATATAAAGTGAAAGTGTCATTATAGTGATTTATACATCTATTTTATGGATAATATAGATCGTATTCGTAGTTTCTAAGTAAGGGTTTTTTTATGAAAGATTGGAAAACAATTTGCAGTGTGATTTTCGCAATGAATTTGAAATTAGCTGCAGTCGTTTTTTATTACGTATTTCCATGGGTTTGAGGCTATTTTCTCGCTCTGTTAAGCAGAGAGGGATGAATTTAGTGAATAAGTTAATGCGAACAATGTCATTTGAGGACATTAGAAGTTCTAGTAGTTTTTGTTTAGTCTGAGATGTTGTACTCAATTAGAAAACATCTTTTAATATGTCATTTGTATTGTTTCTTAAAGTTTCATATGTTTTGCATGCAAAAGCAACATGAAATTCATCTTCTACTTCGCCGGAGTTACAAAGTTTACATAGACGTTGTTCGCGTGGAATGTTTTTGTATCGCCCGTATGCAATTTCGAGTTTGTGATTACGGATTCTAAATTTTGAGAAATTTTTCTTTGTATTGGGTTTTTTATAAGATGTAGATAGTCTTCTAGTTTATAATCTTTTTTGAATTGACAAAAGAAGGACAGTTTTGGAGATTTCGTTATTTTGTGTTTGCAAAATTCGACATATTTTTCTTTTATTCTATTCACTATGGTTTTTGTATATATCGATACTTCTTAGGGCAATTTCAATATTAGTTGTTTCATCATCTTGAGAATAGTAAGGTTTTAACATGTTCATAGCGTTTGAGTAAAATGATTCTTTTCCATTTTTGTGCAGGTCTCTCGAAACAAATAAGGCTTGTTTTACAATTGTTGTATCAGGTAGTTCGAGGATGTGTTTTAGGTAGTTGATTATGTTTTTTTGTGTTGTGATTAAAAGCGGAAATTTTCCTAGTTCTGCTCTGCAAGCTATATTGGTAGCCTTTCTGTTTACTCACAGATATAGCATGCAGAACCTTAGGTGGGCTTTTTCTGTTTGTGAATTGTCCCACTTATTGTTTTTCATGTTTTTTAAAAAAATAGTTTTTAAAAAAGTTTTAAAAGAGTTTTGAAAAGCAAAAAAAGTTTAAAAAGTTAGATTTTTAAAAAAGTTAAAAAAAATTAAAAAGTTAAAAAATGAGGGTTAGGGGTTAGTGGTTAGGGGTTAGGGGTTAGTGGTTAGGGGTTAGTGGTTAGGGTTAGGTGCCGCGAATTTATTATTATGATAAATTCAAAATTTGCCGCGAATTTATCATAATGATAAATTCGGAAGTGTTTAAGGATTTACTCATATAGTAAATTCAAAGGTGGAGCTCATGCTGCAAACTTCAGAGTTATATAATAGAATGGGGAGATAACTCCATTAAAAATTTTGATAGCTGTCTTGGGTGATAGTGAACTAATGTCAAGTTGTCTGCGAATTTTGTGTAAAGCATGTAATGCTTTTTCACTAAGTTGCTTTTGTGTGAGTTTAAATTTGGCATTTGGTTCTAATTTAAGGCCAAGATAAGTATATTCTTTAGTAATTTCAACAGTATTGTTACCAATAGAAAAATTCAGTTTTGGAATTTTAGAGTTATGTTTTTGGAAGATCATGATTTTTATTTTTTTCATATTTACTTCCATGCATTAGCCATTTTTTGCACCAATTATGAAGTTTGTTCAAGCAGTTTTGAAGTCCTGATTTAGATCGTGATAGGATGATAAGATCATCAGCATATAAAAGGCTATTTATTGCAGTTCCGTTTGAGAATACTAAAGGATCTGATTGTGTTTTTCAAAAAGTTGTGGTAATTCATTAATATAGATATTAAATAATAATGGGCTTAATATACAACCTTGACGTACGCCTTTCTTATATCGGAAAAATGATGTTCTATAGTCTGATAGTTTGATGGCACATTTTGTTTTCGAGTACATGTTTTTAATTAGTTCGTAAAAGCGTCCTCCTATTTCGTTTTCAAGTAGTTTTAAATATAAGCCTTTATGCCAGATTGAGTCAAACGCTTTTTTAAAATCAACAAAACATGCATATATCTTTCCATTCTCACTTTGTTTTACATATTTATCATGTAATGTTTTTGAGTAGTGTGAGAATGTGGTCTGCTGTTCTGTTTCCAGAAATAAATCCTATTCCGGCGTAGGGTGTATTGATTTCTTTTCTTTAGTATAACTAAATTAGGGTGTATTGATTTCTTTTCTTTAGTATTTTCTTTAGGTTGGTCAGTGGCAATTCTGTGAGAATTACGGGCCAGTTGTTATGGAAATGGCGTGAGCAAACGTCAAAATCCGCCATTTTTTTGGCTTCACTTTGATCACTGAACGAAGTATAGGAGCAGGTCCTCCAGTTATTATACAGCTCAGTGGATGCGACTTTTGTCACTTCCGAGTGCGGGCCACTGAACTATATAACATGGAAGTCTGACTCGAGCTCAAAAAGTGAAGCCAACATGGCGGAATTTGAAGGCATTCTTGCGCGTCATTCTCAGTCCCCTTACGTGCGCGGTCAACAAAACTTTTATATTTTTCTTTACTTTCCAGGTAAAAATCTGGTGAAAAACAGACGAAATTTGAATGAAAAGTTGAATTCTGGTATTTTGTTTGGATTCGGTTATAAATTTTAATTATTATTTGTTTAGGAGATGTGATATTTGAGTGGAAAGAAAGCAAAATAGCGCGGGATTGCTGTTTTTGTAAAATGACAAGGAGTGACAAAGCAAAACACAAAGTCACTCAATCTTTCAAAATATCTCTATTGCCCCTATCGACAAGCGTTTCACACACATGAATAACTCATTAAAATGAACAGTTTAAGTTTATAAGGCAAACATCAAAGTGATTTTATTAAATAGAAACTAAAAAAACAAAATTTTCTAACATGTAGGGAATTAAATTGGCTAAAAACTGCCTCGAAAACTGCAGTTAAAAAGCAGTTTTAGGTCAGGAAAACCGACTAAAATAAGCTAAATAATGGTATGAAAACTGAAAAGCACCATAGAAACAAGAAAACGAAACAACCAAAACAAAAATAAATTGCCAATTTATAAAAATACAGATTTTATATCAAAAAAACAAAAAAGTTTGAAATTAGTTGTTGAATTCGCAACGAAAAATACAGATTTACTCACACATACAGTGGGAAAATGCAGTAGACAGATCGAGTAGATGAAGGAAATCAGGTTTACATGAAATAATAAATGAAGTTTATTTCCTTTTTTGCTCTTTTAAAATGAAGAAAAACACAACCCGAGAATCGCGGACCCATCACTTCCCGCCATGAAAATACAAAAAATGTTTGGCCGCGCGGGTAGGGGATTGAAAATGACGCGCAAGAATGGCTTCAAAATCCGCCATCTTTGGCTTCACTTTTTGATTACGTCAATGACTGAAGTCAGCTTTCCATGTATATAGTTCACTGTTGCCGGCTCGCTGTTTTCGAAGAATTGCTTTGGAGTACCTGGAAATAGAAATGAAACCAAGCGGTTGTTGTTTCATATTTATCGTTCTATAGTTTGTGTTGTCGGTTACATATTTGTGAAATTCTGTTTAATTTGATACATGATCGGAAACGTGTGCAAAGCATTTGGGTTCGGAAGTGTGCAAATTACTGGTTTGCAAGTTGAAGTATTAACATGTCAACCCGTACTACTCTTGGCCTTGGGACATTAGTTGAAGAAACGATATTGAAAGAGAGTGGTGACAGCTATGGTCGCTACAAAATAAAGAGATATATAAAAAGTACTTTGCATGAATTGACTTTCATAGGGAACCGATTTAAGCTACAAGTTTCTGATCCCTCGTACAAACTGCGATATCAATATGCCCTCGAATTTTGGAGAGAAAGAACGGCAAACGAAGAATTAGCGGATGCGAAAAAACTGATTAACGAGCTGAGGGAGAAACTAAACAGCAAAGACTGTATATATTCAGAAGCCGAGGAGAGCAATACAAATTTGGATGGATTTTTTTCAAAACAGATTACCCCAACCAAAGCCGGCAAAAGGGCAACAAAGCCGAATGCGGTCGAGAAGCTGGTTTGGTATGTCACTAGCAAATGTGAAGATAAGTTTTATGTAAAATCTGCGAATAATTGTGAAGCCGAGATAGAAATAAGTAGGCAAGAAATCCTGTGTAGCTACAAGCTTATTCGTCCTGGAGATGAAGTTAAAGTCATTCCTTGTCTTGGAGACAAACACAGCGCGTTCAAATAACAAAGTATGTAAATGGTATTATACCTTCTGCAGTGTAATATTAAATATATATCATATATTGGAGGCACCCTAGCTTCTACATGCAATATAAACCAGTCAGTCATGATATGCTTCAACCATTAATAGCTGCAATATATGGCATATTAACTAGGGTCCTGATTCCTGAATCCTGACAAAAGGCAGCACCCGGCAATTTTCTCTGCCAAAAGATTTCATCCTAAGTAGCATAGTAATGTAAATCGTATAGATATGTTTCTTTAATGATTTGGATGATATAACAAAATCTCCCAAATTTCTGTACATGCCATTCCACGGGGTCTCCGGGAGACGACCCTTCGGTACCATGGTAGCCGGCAACTTGGTTCCAATTGAAAAGCCTCCTACTCCAGATGTGCTCTATTTTGTCATGCTAGCTATTAAAGGGTTAATTATAATCAGGATCATGCAATATTAGCAGCAGGGAGAGGGGAAGGGGTTTGCCTGTGGGAGGAATTTAAGTTGTATTTAGAAAAGGTCTTAAAACAACCATAATAGTTAAGTTTAATTATTGCAGTTTTGTCATTCAGAAGGTTATAATTAATGCTCCACCATCGAAAAGAGTGACGGGCAAGCACTGAGCATTACCTTATGCAATCTGGTGTAAGTCTAAATGTGTGAGGCTCGTTGTTCAAAGCTCGAGTGGTAAGTCTTTTAATCTACATAAAACCACACAAAATAGAGTGGCAATTGATCCACACATGTGAAAATATTTTTTCTAGCTTATATAAACATGAAGCTGTACTTGGGAAATTTGCCTTTGAAGTTTTACATTTTCCAAGGACTTACAGTAAGCTAATCAAAAATTTGGATTCCCATAGGATCCATAGCAATTTTTCGTTAATAGTTTTTTTGGGAGGGGGATTCCAAAATCCAAAATGTTTATTGATCCACCACTGGAATTTCCATCAGTATAGGATTGAGGTATTGAATTGTTAAGAGCAAAGCATTGGACCTCAATTGTTTACCATTACTAAGGGGCCATACACACTTCTTGTTAACCCATTGAGCTGCAGTGCATTTTATATTACTGTATATATTTATTCTGACTATTGCAAGATAATTTTACTCTTGATTCGGACTATTGCAAGATCATTTTACTCAGCTAATTAACAATATATTATGAAGTAAATTGTACCTTATTACTGGCCACTGCAGTGGTGTAGAACTGAAATGACAATGGGGGCAGGAGGGAGGGGAGGATGTGTCTCAAAGGGGGATGTGTAGATGTAGGGATGACAATTTAAAGCACATGGAGTGTGAATCATGATGAACATGGAAATTAAGTTCCAGTATTCATTTTTAGTTTCAAAGTTCAATTACTATTTATGAAGAAAGGCCATAACATGAATTAAAAGATTCCAATATACTGCATGTTGGAGCCATATAAATTAATAATGTGATGGTATACTGTAGGATCATAGTAATTAGTACCAGCTAGTGGACAGTAGCTTTGCAATTAGATTGCCAGCATATGACTACCTTTCACAACCCCTCCCCCATCATCCAGGGTGCACCACTGACAGTGATCAAATTATTTGCTATCCAGCCTCCAATCTCCATCCAGTGTGCACACAGCACTGATAGTAATCGGTTCCTCTTCGATCTGCCCTCCCTCAATTGTGTGCCACTGATAGACCTGATAGTAATGAAGCACAGATGAATAAAATCATTTGACCACATCACTTGAACCTTATACAGTCAGTTACAAAGGACTTTACAAAAAGTTGAAATTTTTAAAAAATAGGTACGCAATGCGTACATGTGGCTGGCCAAAAGGCGACTTTATATTTGAAACACTTATTAATAATTCATAAGCTTATTAACAAACATGTCAACCATAATACCAGTATATATGTCATGTGAAAATGTTCGGAGTGTGTATTTCATAATTTCTAGACCGCGCGCAAGCAGGAAAATATTGTCTGCTGCCAGAGGCCGCGAGGGTGGGGGCAATCGGGGCATGTGTCCCGCCCCCACCACTTTTTTAAAAGTGAAAAAAGTATTTCTTGAATAAACGCCCTCTTTCGTTGGAAAGAAAGACTCTATAAAGGCCATTTCCAACGTTAATAGAGACTCCATATTTTCAAAAAATTTCGTTCGGCTCGTTAACGACATAAAATCATTTGATTTTGATCATATACAGAAGTGCGCCTTTTGGCCAATGCCCCGACACTTTCGAAATGCTTCCGCGGCCTCTGCCTGCCGCGGCTGGGTTTTTAACGCCCGACCTTCGAATTACTACAATCTTGGAAAAAATATGTGTAGACTTTTCGAAATATACACCCAAATTTGAAAACATATGATGAAAATGTGAGCATTTTTCAATTAAAGCAACTATTTACCATAAATCCCCCCCCCCTCCCCCCACAAACAATGTTGGTTCAGGTAAAGTGGATTTGCAACACATGTCACCTAAATACCAACATTGTATAAGGGGGGAGAGGGACAAAGTTTGAAAATTTAAGAAGTCTACTAATTTTTTTCCAGGATTGTCTCTGAATTAAGCCAAACCCTTAACCTTTAAGGGATAGAAATTAAATTTTTTGGACATATAAAATTTTCTATTCTATTATGTTGTTATGAAAGTCAAGTGGCACATATGTCAGTAGAAACAGACTCCCAAAACAATTTTCCGGGGGGGGGGAGACTTCCCATGGTACGATTATAGGAAATAGGCGTATATTACCGCCCACAGCTCGGGTTATCCTTGCAATTTCGTTGAATTTGGACACGATTATAAATGTTTTTATACTTTTGAATGTATAGTAAATGTAATATTAGCTTCAACTTAGAATCCTCTAGGTTTAACACCCTTTTCAAAATGTTTTACTTAGTATTTGCTCCGGAAAATAAGCGAATTTAATTTCATAAAATACACATAACTGCTTGATTTCTTGAGTTCTTTTGGATTAAATAAACTAAGAGATATTTCTGCTCGTTTATCGGTTGGTTGTGTCTTAAATTATGTTAGGATTAATTTATTTTTAAGGTTTACAGTTCTCTATGCACATTTTCAAAGATTATAGGTTAGAACAAATCTTAATCTTCACATGTTACATCATGTTACATCATGTTACACTGCATGTTACGCTAAAATTACTATACTTTACTATAGTTCTTGACATGTTACAACATGTTACACCTATATTTTTAAAAGGAACTATATATATTTTTAAAAGTAAGTGTAACATGTTGTAACATGTGAGGATATATAATAAAATATAGAACTTTTAGTGTAACATGTACTGTAACATGTGGTGTAACATGGTGTAACATGTAGTGATTTTACTCAGACTGTACATTTCTTAATTAATAAAAAGATATTCGTTAAGACAAGCACCAATTTTGAGGCAATCACAGGTATATGCGCTATAAAAGCATATTGAAACTATAGATAGATAGATAGATAGATAGATAGATGATTTATTCAGTTTTAAAAGACTTTACAGCTGATAATGGCTGAATTGTGTTAAAACTTTACAATTATAAAAATTTAAGAAACCTAATGATTAACAATATTTACAATTACTAACAATAAAAGAATTCATAAACCGATCAGTTTTGGCCCTTAGAACGTTAAGTTGCCTTTTACGTCTCAGTTGGTATGAACAGTTATTTTCGGATGGTAGTAGAGGTCTGAGTTTGTGGGATTGATCTCGAGTGATCTCATTAAACAGTTTGCACGTCAAGAGCTGCCTGCGTTCGAAGAGGCGAGGCAGACCGCTTTCTTCGAGGGAATCAGTGTAAGGCATCCAAGGGTAGATTATTCTTAGAGCTCTCTTCTGCAGCCTTTCAATGTCGTCCGATAGGTACTTGGGTAGCGAGTTGTGATAAACTGGGCATGTATATTCAAAGATCGGGCGAATACATGTAGTATAAAATTTCAGAAGTTCCTTAGTTGGAATGGCTGCTCTTTTGAGTTGTCTCAAGAAATAGAAACGAGGTGCAGCCTTCTTGGTTGTTTCTGATACATGGAAGTTCCATTTTAAGTCGCTCGATATATTCAGGCCCAGCAGCTTTGCGTGTTGAACAATCTCCAGTGGCTTTTCATTGACCATCACCG